CTCTTTTCTTCTTTTTGTCATTAAGATATCAATTGAACATCTATGAAGTATGAAACATGGTTCTAGGTTCATTGGGGAACAGAACAAAGCTCTTACCCTCGTGGAGCTCACATTTTAGTAGGGGATACAGGGGATACAGGTAATAAACAACAAACGTAATAAACAAGTCAGTTGTAGAGACAATTGGAATACGTCCAGTAAAAAGCAGGGTAAGATGAATTTGGAGTGCCAATTGAGAGAGGGTGTTATATTTTTAAATGTATTGTTCACAGGAGGCCTCGTTAAGAAGATAAAATTCGAGCAAAGGATTGGAGGAGGTAGGGGATTAGTTACATGGCTATCTAAAGGAAGGACATTTCAGGCGTGGGGAACTGCCTGGGCAAAGATCCTGAAGTGGGCGTCTGTCTGGCATATTCAAGGGATAGTAAGGAGGCCAATATGGCAGGAGTAGAGTGAACCAGGAGGAAGGCAGTAGGAGATGAGGTTCACGGGTAATGGGTGACAGATCAAGACTTCTGGGCTACTGCAAGGGTTCTTTCTCTAAGTTAGGGTTTCTCAGTCTTGGCACTATTGACAATTTTGATCAGATGACTCTTGGTTGTGGGGGAATGTCATGTGCATTGTAGGGTGTTTAGCAGCATCGCTATTGGCTAGCATCCAATAGATGCCAGTTCCACCCTATACCAGAGTTGTTACAACAAAAAAATATCTACAGACATTGCCAGATGTCCCCTAGGGGAGGGGAATAGGATTACCACAGGTTGAAAACCACTGCTCTAAGTAAAAAGGGAAGACAATGGAGGTTTCTGAGCAGAGCAGTTAACATTTTACATTTACATACAGTAATTTACACTTTTAAAAGATCACTCAGGCAGGGCGTGGTGCCTCATGCCTGTAATTCCAGCACTTTGGGAGGCCGAGGCGGGAGAAGAAGATCACTGGAGGTCAGGAGTTCGCAACCAGCCTGGCCAACATGGTGAAATCACGACTCTACTAAAAATACAAAAGTTAGCCAAGTGTGGTGGTGCATGTCTGTAATCCCAGCTACTCGGGAGGTTGAGGCA